ATTTCAAACTCTGAATTGATTATATATATATATATATATATATATATAATCTTATAAAATCTACTCGTTCACGACCACAGAATGATGTAATAATAACAACAGGTGTAACTCTGTGTATACACCAGTACTGAATAGCGTAAGCTTTAATTTCACCTGCTGACTTATCAATCTCTCATTGAGCAATAGGACAAATCAACACAACGTGTAGCAAAAAATACAATAAAAAAATAATTAGAAGCATTATTCGCATTCATTAGTAACAACAACAACAACAAACAAATAAATCGAACTCGAAAATAAATCGAAACCCTTTCAGTTGTCACACATTGATGCTGTGTACGGTGAGAATATAATATTGCAGCTCTGTTGTCAGGGCCACACATTTACTAATAGTTGCTCGCGAAAAAATGATAAACTTGCAAACTAACGTTACACATCATACCGCTGAGCTCACTAACAGCAAAGTCCCTTTAAGGGTAGTCTATAGTCTTTGCTAACAGTCAGCACTGCGCTGAAAATCGGTAGAATTTGTTGTCTAATATTTTGCTTAGAGACCAAACTTAGTGTAGAACAGAAGTATTGCAAGTTTTCTCGTCGTTTTAATATGTTATAGCTAGCCGTGCGGTTAACCGACTCGACATTCAGCACTGCTGCACCGAGAAGAGATCAAACAGCAGCAGTCTCGTATCTCAGACACACACTTCACCGGAAAAACAAACCGTAACCGCAGTCAAACAGATTCCCAGCTAAATTCTCAACACACAAAAGACGAAACCATGTTAATTATTCGAGAGTTACAGTCATTAATTATGTTGCTCAGCAGCCGCTTTATTAGAAATATAAGTTTCCAGACACTGGTGTGGTTTTGTGTACGTCGTCGACGTAAATAGCGGCTAACTGAGCTATGCTGCTATCTACGCACAAACCCGTCAAATACATCGTATTAAAAGGGAATTTTACCATCTTGTACTTCAGACACAGATGTAAATGATATAAACTGCACACTAACCTAAAATCGTTTGAGGGGAAACGTGCGGTGAGGCTGTAAAAGCCTCTCCTTTAGGCGTTGTTTCTAAAACGATGTTTTTGTGACATTTCCACGCCTGGCGGCGCCCGAGTTTCACCATTGCGTTCTGTTCAGACCTATCAATCGGTGCGAGCGTGTTCCCGGTCTGTCAAAGAACCAATCAGAACCTCGCAAAGTATGAGAATGTACCGCCCCTCGAGTAGGGTATAACATTTCAGCCAATTAGGAACATGCAGCGTCAACGTTCTGCCAATTGGGTTTCAGGAGGGAGAATTGCAACCAATAGCGAGGCCACGAATAGTCGTCTTTGTCCCCATGTGAACCTCAAAGTTGCATATGTAGCGCCCCGCGGTTTGCATTTTGAATCTGGTGTGTAGTAAAATAGCAGCACTCTTTAAAATTGTAAATCCGGTCAGAATAGCTGTAACATTAGCCAGAATACCAGGTTGGATCCAGCCATAAAGTCTTTATTTTAAAACACATGTATCAAACACAGGTGCACATTCTAGTGTATGTTTGTTCATAAAACAAAGACAATTATTGAAGAGTAAACAATTATTCGGAGAAGCCCTCTCAGATGGGCAGAAGAAATCAAATAAAATCTGTAACAGAATTCATCCACAGATCATGTATAAAGTTCAAAGTCTATTCTCTTTGAGTTGTAGAATGGGGCATGTTCTTGGTCAATCTTCCTACAGTATACTCCATCCTTGAAGTAACCCTCGTCCACCCAGTCCTGGAACAAAAGATACAGCGATATTTGTCAATGCCTATGTCAGACCACTCCAAACAAAAGAGCAATATTGAATCTGTCAGTGTTTACATTTTTAAAACCATTTGAATATAAAACGTTAAACACACACACACAAAACACCTTTGCGTAATAAAAAAAAAAAAATCATTCATTTACTTGTGCAAACTGAGGTTTGATATTAAAGCACCGATAATGTCTTACCTGCATCTGTTGGCTGTTGAAGGGCCCATAGAGCTCAGAGTTTTCCTCATTGTCCCATTTGTATTCCCACATGACCACATCATTCACTAGAGAGAAACACAGATCATATGACTGCTATTACTAAGGGGTCAGCCATGAATCATATAATCACGAAAAACAACTGGCAATAAAATTCAGGAATCATTATTTGTTACAGTGACAAAAAGTTGCTACACTACAACAAATAAGAATTCATATTTAAATTGCCTCTAATCATGCTACCTTTAAAAAACACATCGTCATCCTATCACTTACCTCTGCTGTTGTCTTTATCCTCATCTTTTTCTGCACCATGCTTCTCATCAAACTCCTCAGCGAACATGTCTAGATCATCTTTTTCCTCCTCTAGCATTTTGGCTGCCTTTCCTCGAGTCAACCCCTTCAGCTTGTAGGTCAGTTTTTCATAAGTCTGCTGATAAATTTCAAATTCTCCAATCCCCACTAGTCTATCTGCCAATGCTGTCAGTTTGTCTAGTTTATCAGCGTCTCTGTTCGAAGTCTCTTTTTTCTCCTCCTCTCCTTCTCTCAGTCTTCCTTTCTTCTTGTGTCCTCCAAGACCTCCAAGTCTTCTCAGAGCAGCAGCCACTGTTTCTCCAGGCAGCATCAGCTCAATTACGGCTTCTGTGAGTTGATGATGGCTGTACGTAGCCAGAGGGTCTTCTGCAGGTCCTTTCTCCTCTTCTTCCTCCTCATCATCTTCCTCACTGTCTTTCCACAGCTCCTCCCGTTTTATCTCCTCTTCTGCTTCGTCTTCATCACCAATTCTTCTCTTCCGCTTA